AGATTGTGATAGAATTGCATATCCTAAATCCACACGTTCTGGTCATTCAAGGCTTAGCTTCTTATGAAGAACTTCTAACCTTGCCAAATGTAATAATATCATTCTTTGCAGAAGCACTGCACATCTTAGAATTGCCTGACATGCAGTCTATTCTTCCTCTGTGGAACCTGCAAAATCCAGTTTAAGGACCTATTGTTATTACAAAGGCTGTAGAATTTCCAGATTACTTTTTATATGTATACTAATATTTGTTTATCTAAAAAGTTATTAAAGTTCTTCAAACCTAGCCATTGTAATGCAGCTGCATTGGAAGTAAGCAGCAGTATTACAGCAAAAAAAAAAAAAAAAAAAAAAAAAGGAAATATACCCATTCAATTCAGTCCTATCTTCAGAGATTCAGTAATCTTCAGAGATTACACAGCAGAGCAGAGAAATACTCAAAGTTCAAGATTTTTAGGACACTATACACAGTAAATATGTAAATATTTTGGAACAGCACTGAGTTAAACCTTGTTCCTGGAGGAGTATTATCCTAGAGCTCACATAGAGAACAAATAGAAAGAATCAGAATATAATGGGCTGTATACTAATGCCTCATACCACCTAGAAGGAAGGTGAGAACATAGATATCTCCTCTCTGGAGACCACGGACACACATGATGGCTCTGTGCAGATTCAGAGTTTAAGTGTAGCTTGCAGTAATTGCTTTCCCTACTCAAATACAATTAGCATGCTGACCTGCACTGCTTCTATACACATGTGCAGAGGTTAACAATTTATTTGACACTGCACTTCAGCCACACATGAAGCACCAACAGTGGTTTTGAAGCCTAACTTTTAAGGAACAATCAGTTAAATGAATCCTGATGGCATAGAAATTGATGATAGCAAGCTATTCCAAGCCAAGACCACTCCAAAATCATGGACGTCCATATGGCTTTTAAAACACATACTTTTGCATTGCCCATAGCTAAGAAAAAGTCCACACTGACCTCCTTCACGTGCACCTGCAGAGGTGTTATTGCAGGAAGACGATCTTTGTTTTAAATCCTTTCGGGTTCTCAGCACTATGAGAAATTTATTCTGCAGTTATTTTTTTGTGTTGTCTAAAAAAATGTAGTGTTTCTGCCCACTCAGTATGCTAAATCCCATGTCTTCACTCCCAAGTCTAATTATAAAAGGTTTGGGTAATTTAGCACAACTGTTTCACTACTGTCTGATAAGTTGGTTAATACGAACAAATAATTTCCATGTTCTATAGTGAATTTCCTTCAATTAAAGAACCCTGGTAGTAGGAGTAGATCAGGGCTTCAATTATACATTTTGGTTATATGGTATATTTGATGGTTGTAGTGATGGTTTCACAGATGCAATCTGTGCAAGTACAATACATAGAAGGACAGGTAAGTTATTTTCTTCTCTCATAAACATTTTTTGTGCAACTTCAGACTCTCCTCTGGCACCATGCTCACATGTCATCATTCTCCTTTCACATTCTCAACTTATTTTCTCTTCCTAGCTTCAGTCAATCTGAGATGTGTTTCATGTGCCTCAGCTACCTGCTTACTACTGAAATACCTCAATGACTTCCCCCCTTCTATTGAGCTTGGGCTCCTATTCCATCTTGCTCTCTGAGCAGAAAATTTAAGTACTGAGATTGCCTAGGTATATGCAACAGATATTGGGAGGATCTGGCAATGAAAATGGCAGTTGTGCTGGCAACATTTACACCAGAGTGTGTGCTTGTACAGAGTCTTTAACTTCTGGCTTGAGGCCACAAATGTGCAGTTGCAACCACATGTCACTATGAAATGCTTCTATGCGTAGCAGATGCTTCCACAGTGACACTGCAAGGAAAACAACTTTATGGCACTTCAGTATTCACCTCAGCTATCATTTTCGCCCTTCTTTCCTTGCCTTTGACACAGCACTTCTTATAGCAAGAAATTAATTTCTCGCATATGAAAATTAAAAACTGAAAACAAAACAACCTCTGAAAGATACCTTAGTAACATTAAGATTTCCCTTTTTTAATTCCCTGGCTATCTTAGCATATGTCTACAGAACTGTGATTAGCACGGAGTAGGGAAAAATGGTCAAACATTGAACTAATAGAGTTAACCATTTTTAATTTAGCTACAGCAGCATCACAATCTGATGTAAATCAAAAAAGTACCCTCAAAAGCTAGAATAAAAAAAGCTGGAGTAGTTTGTCTTTTCTGTAAGTTTGTCTTATCCCATGCTGACATTGCTAAGTTTTTGGAGTAAATACCTCAGATAAGAAGGGCTTAGCACTCTGACTGCTGGGGATAGAACTTGTAATGAAGAGACGGTTTGAGTGTCATGACATTTCTAGATTGGACAACTCAATGTATAGATAAAGATGTACAACAAACATATGCTGCCAGCAAACATATCTTGCAGTGTAGATAAGAACAAATTTGCAGGCTGCAAAAGGTCTCACCAGAAGGTAGATTCATGTAAATTGAGTGGATAAATGAATAGGATAAAATATCACAGGAAAAAACGCATAGGCAGAGTAGTGGAAATGTGTATACAGTTATTCCTGAGGTGTGTATGAAGACACACTTTACAAATGTAATTGTAGTTGTTGTATATGCAGATGAAACCATTGCATGGACATATTACACAATGACTTGCTACAGGCATGCATAAATAAACACATCATGGTATTACTAATTTGTCCACATAATACAAATGTATACAGGAAATGCAATCCTAAGAACCTGCTTAACTAGATGGTGACAGTTCATTTATACAATCCACTCAGGGGCTACTTTCTGTTATTGTGGTTTATTTTCAGAAAGTTAGGATTCATTTCCTTAGTAGCAGATAGGTTATCAGGTGCGTATGTCTTGTTCTCCAAACTGGAAATAAGAATGGAGCCATGCAGGTAGGCAGACAACTTGGCCCAGTGAAACAGAGGGATGCATGAGGGAGCTCCTGGAAGCACTGAGCAGCATACTGTAACACAGCATGCTTCTGGTTTGCTTCTATCATCAGGCTGACTAGAGCCATGGAGGTTAGCAGAACTTACTGCCCTTACACCTTGCTCTGACTGCTGAACTGGCATATAATTCTGTATATGCTACAAATGCTACATATACATACACAGAGCACAGCAAGAGTCTAAGTATCAAGGATATGTTTTTCCTCAGATTTGATCCTTAGTAGATTTCTGTTACTTCAGTGTAAGTTAGAGAAGAATAAATTTCAGAACATATGAAATGTATATGTGGAGTAAGCCATTCTATGCTTTGGTGAGATGCATTTCATGCAAAACATTATCTTGGGAAATTAAAATTATTACATAAAATATCAGTATTTTTTAGATGTACACTGCTCCTTTTACAGAAAACTAAAAATCTGTCTCTACCTGTAAGAACACAGCTGAACACGTCATTGTTAAGCCCCATGAAAAGCAGCACATAATTTTTTTCAGGTCTTAAGACTTATCTTCTTATTTCGGTACGTTTATGAGTCAGGCAAGCTTCATCTTCCGTGAGGAACGAGAGCGGATTTCCCTAGGGCTAACACTGCACCTACAGTTGTTGGTTACAGGTATCCTATCTATGAAATTACAAAAAATGTCATGTCTTGGATGGCTACTACTGAAATACTGTCTTGGAGATAGATAAAAGACAGAAGAAAATAAGGAAGCATTCTCTGCAGTTTTCAGAGGGTCCTTACTTGCCGCCTGGTCACTTGCTGACAGCCATGTAGAACAGATTCTGCTGTTCTGCACACGCTCTATTTTAAAGGCACTACTTGGAGAACAAGCAACTACTCTGTGGGAAGACTGATGACACAATCTGTCTCTGATTATTTTAACTTGCATCAGAGATATGTAAGATACACCTAGAGATTTGTATTCATTGTTTCAAACTCTAATTGCTTCATAGTACTTTTAATTAAAATTGTACAAGCTCAATTATTTATGCATTTGACTAACCCACCCAATTTGACAAACCCGTGTATCTTAGGGAAATGTGCAATCCACAGTACAAGTCAGAATAACCTCGGACAAATATACATGATGGCCTCCCTGTAACTGCATTTTTTTTCACAGCCCCAAGCCCAAAATATACTTCACAGAAGCACAATCTTGCTCTTCCCAGGCCATGTCACGTCCACTTTGCTGCATGTTCATCTGAAGGGTACCCTTCCACACTTTTTTGGGAATCCAAACCGGTGTAAAGTGGGATTCTGCCATTCAGTATTTCAAAAAGGTCGTCAGAATATAATTCACTTAAAATCTGATATTTTGCCAAAGGCGTTCTTCTGCCGAGAAACACAGAGCCAGCTTCTTAATGGAGGATAATGACAAGAGCAGTGTCATTCCTGAAGTTCATCAGGGAATGTGGAAAAATTTGAAAAAGACATACTGTTCTCATACAGTTCTCATACAGCTTTACATTATACAGCTGTACATTATATACATATATATATATATATATATATATAGCTGTACATAATATTATACATTAATACAGCTGTATTGTTCTCATACAGCTTTACATTAGAGATTTCCTCTATTTTCCTTTCCTCATGGTACATTACTAAGGATATTTTCTCAAAGACAGAACCTTTGTTTAAGTATTCATTTCTCTTTTTCTACTTATTAAAAATGTGAAATCCTAATCCCCTTTTTGTGACATCACAGCAGGCCTGCTGTGGAAATTATTACACTGCCAGAACGTGGAGGACCCTGACACCAGGTAGAGAATAAACAGGAGAGGCGGATGAACTCTTGGGAAACAAGGATTCTTTTTTATCCAAATATTTTCATTAAGAAAGAACAAGGGAAGGAAAGTATATGACGTGTCTGAAGCCTGGCTGCTCTTCTAGCCAAGCATTCAAGACGATGAAGTGTGAAAAGGCCCTGTCACTCATAACAGAAAGGCTTTAGTGTTGGTTTTTGTCCCTTTTCTTTTCTTTCTATAATCTAAAGCTTGGGCTCCCATGATTTATTTACATACCTTGATTTTTTTTCTTTGAAGTCCACAGGCACCAGTTAGCAGGAACAGCCACAGATAATCATTTGCTGCACTGGGCTCTAAACTGACCTCCAGAAATTTCTGCCAAGGACACAGTATTGTCTCTTACCTTAAAAAAACCCTGAGTTCTTCAAGATGTTACAAAAAAAAAAAATGTAGGCATTATAGCTGTTTTCCGACTTGAGTACTTTTATAACAACTTGTGTTTCAGAATTTTCCTGCATAACCATGACGTAGCTAGATACATACATCAGAGGAAAGCTGGCATTTTTGTTTGGCATTTAACCCCAGGGAAGTGGGACTTTAGTGGAAACACTGAGTGTGAAGTGAAAGTGTGCAGATTTAACCCCTCTGAGCAACTGCCTGCTGCTGTCTGATAATGGCCCATAGGGCAGGCCTTGCAGATCAGCAGCTGTACTGGACTACTCCTCCTGTGCATGCATTTTGTTGATAAAAGAGAACCCACTGGAAAGGTTATCTGGCTCAGCAAGAAGACATCAAGAGTTGTACGAAATAGGAATATATAATAACAGAAAATATTATTTGAGGTATACATAAGGGAGGGCCCGGTAACAGAAGGAATTTCTTAAAGCAGATCAAGTGTATCCTTTTCATACAGACAGGTTTTTAAAGAAGGTAAAACAGAAAAGAAATGTACAGATACCTTTTTTTCTAAAATATTAATGAAAAGGAAGTGGAACGTTTTAAGTAGGTAATGAGGCAAATAACAGAAGAGACTGTAAAAAAAGGAACGAAGGTTTTAGCTAGTGCTGTCCAAGTGACGTTAAAGCAAAAAAAAAGGTTGTAAGAAGGGTTTATGACCAACATGTAATATTCATAGCCAGGCACCAAGGATTATTAATCAGACAGATGTATCAAGTAATTGGAAAGTATATGGTAAGTTTTGCAGTGAAGGATTGCAGCTGCTTTGGAAGAGTTATCATCACAAGAAGAGATCATAATCAGTGTGGTCTAGACAGAGCTGCAGAGAAATCTGATGATTTACTCTCTATTGCTCATGAAGCATAAGTTAGAAGATCAGATAAAATTGCTGCACACAGAACAAGAGGTAGTATTTTACCAGCAACTTTTGTCTCCTATTTCATGAGTCTTTCTAGTTGAAAATACAAATAAAAGCATAATGACAAATATACTCAGTTGGACAAAACTGTAAAAAATACAGATCTCATTATGAGTAATTGTCATACAGTCATGTTTCCCAGCAGAATTACTGCTCTCTACATTTGAAATTGACTATATCAGGTACATTAGAAAGCAACAGTGATGAACCTAAAATGCTGAAGAAAGACATCATATTCTAAACACAAATGCCTTTATATAATCTAAACCTGTGCTAGTAACTGAACTATCTCTACAATTTTCACTCCAAGTTCCCAGGTGTGTGTATATAAGAAGGAATTTAACTGTAATGTTTGCTAGAGTCAGCTGATGGAAATTACAAATCCAGATGATCGTGAAAGCAGAACAGAATGGAACTAAACTAACCAAGTAGATCTCATAGGCAAGAACTGCTGCTTTTTTAAATATGCGTAGCTCACCACATGATGCAGCCTGATGCCTGAGAGCTATGTAAGAGAAAAGGAGGCATGGTATCATAGCTTCATCTATTTGTCCATGGAATAAGGAACAACATTTCCATAGAGCTGAAAAGAGCGCTGTGGAAACCCTAGATGTAGAAAATGCAAGGACCACAAGGCAGAGTTCCTGCCTCCTCCTATGCATTTGTAGGGTATGAGAAATGCAGAAGTCATACATGAGTGTTCCAATCACGTTCATCTATTTACACAGGTTAAAGAAATCTACAACAACTTTCATGTCATGATTAACTAATAGTCACAGCATAGGAGGTTCGTTGTTCACTAGTGAGTTCTGCTCTGAAAAATATATCTAAAAGGTAGATTTATTTTTTCTGTAAGTAATATTTCTCTTTAATCCATCTCACAGAGACTCGGTTTATGAATCAAGAGCTTACCTAGTTGTATCTCCATTTCCATTTATCTACCTGCTCATATTTCACCCAGTTTAAACCTTGAGAGGACAGATAAATATTTCTCTCTCAGCCGGGCTATTTAGCACAACAGGGACAAGTACGTTCTCCCAAAGATGGGGAACTAACATTTCCACTGATGACTGCAGAATGCAACTAATAGGAAACTATCAGGCTGTTATCAAATAATATAGCATTCAACAGAGTGGGAGCATCACTTTTTTAACTGATATTAGTTTACAAAGGACCTCTCCTCCTTCAGATGAAAACATTAGATTATAACAGTTTATAGATCACTAGTATTCTTCTGCATATATATGTATGCCTTCGTTTAGTAAAAATGTGAAAGTATTTGCCCTGGAGGTCAGTTGTTTTCTCCTTCCTCCAGAATACAAAGATTATTTTAAAATAATGGAGTTGGCTTAGCCTCCCCCTATTGTTCAAAAAACAAACAAACAAAACCTTAAACTCTAGGGTATACTCACATCAAGAGTGTTCAGTCATGGATGACTGTCACTTTGCACTAACGTGACATAAAGAAGAAATACAGAACATCCATGCTACAAAGTTCACAGTGGAAGATCATATTTAGATCTCATATACATTTAAACAAAGCTGCTGGACTGAAGGAAGAAGACAATAATAAAGAAAGACAAATATTTCTTTTGTATCTGAGGCACACGTAAGTATTGTGTTTTTAGTTTCCAGCACATTATTAAGAAAGAAATCAACATACTTTGGGAGGAAGAACACCTTGCGTGGTAAACAGACTAGCTGTTTTCAGAGATTATCTTAATCAAAATTGTTCTTAACCTGTGTTAATAATCCCCTGTAAACTATCTCCTAATGCCTGATTATTTTGAAGCCAGACGAACTTCACTTTTCAGAATTCTGCACAATCTCTTTGAGGAATTCTTTCCATTCCCTTCATAAACCTTTGGACTATGTAAGAATTTCAGAAATAAACACTCCCCAAAACTCCGGATCTTCAGACAGAATTAATGTCTTGTGCTTGCTGCATTTGGTGATTCAGTATTGCCTTGAACTGTAGATTATGGATGCTTTTAGCACACTGTCTTGCACGTAACATTCACACTTATTGATCACACTACTCCAAAATTCTGCAGCCTTCACTCAGGGAAAAAAATCCTTTCCTGCTCAGGATAAAACAATTTTCATTTAAATAAAAACTGTATTAATTCCAGCCACTTGAAATACCATGTACATATGCGTGTTCATGTCTAAATTTCAAACATCCATATGAGCTATCACAATAGAATATATAAATACTATCTACAATAAATATGCACTTGTATGACTACTCTTTATATGTAGCCTAAACATCTATGTTTAGGTGTATACATACTTATTTGTTTTGTATAAACCCCATGCCTGATGATGAAAGAGATAGCAAGTTAGAGATATAAATAAACCTTTAAGATAGTCCTTTGCGATCACGGTCACGCGATGTGTGCAATTAAGCAGTTTGAATTATATGAAAATATATACCTAAAGTAAGATAAAATTGTAGGCATAGTTTCCACTGTTTTTAAGATGTAAAGCTAGAGGCCAGTTGTCCAGAGATAGCTCTTCCCCAAGGCAAGGGCAAAGTGGCTGCAACAGGCCTCAGGTGCCTAGAAAAACAACTGGAGCACTACCAATACTGTTTAATCCTGAAACATTTTTACTTTTAAAGTCAAAGCTATTTAGAAGAATACATCTAGAGAGAACTAAAAACCTACACCAACATACCCTGCACACTACTGCAGTGTAGTGAACAGGTATTGTGCGGTACTGCTCATGTCAATATCTACTTATGTCATTAATCGATCCGTGATCATTTTACTGACAATGTCCTCAGACCTCTACTGTGAGATCTGAAACGGATGCATTCATTGCATACCTGGTATAGAATAAAAAACATAAATACTGTTCAATTTTTGTCTTTAGATTTTTCCTTCAGTAATTAAAAAAAAAGGGAAAGTCTTACTGTTTAAAAACCTGTGGCTGTATGGACCGAGTCCTGGTATACAAGACCCAAGTGAAGGGCACGTTATCTTATCACCTTTTTCTTTCTCAGATTTCTTTTCATAATATAACATCTAATTTACATATAATATTATATAATAATATACAAAACTTATGTTAAGTGTGGTAGCTTAACCATGTGTCATGCACCTGCTTCATGATGTGCAGCTATTGTGGGCAAACAAGAATAAGTATAGAATTTCATATATTCAGAGAATGTGTTGTTGGAGGTTTAATTCTAACAAGATATGTCAGTGTAAACAGATGAAACAGAACTTCATAACTTTGCTTAAGTAAGGGTGGAGAGATTGCTTATTTGTTTTTGTTTGTTTTTAAATCTCCACGTTAAGCATATCAGTATCCAGATCCAAACAGACAGGCTTTTTCATAATTTCTTTCTATTATGTTATCTGTAAGTCACTGAGGTTGGAACTTCCTATCCTAATCTTCCTTAAACAAAGAAAAAATATTGTTAAAAAATTGCCAATTATTCTTCCATACACTTAGGCTCCTGTACTAATTTTGGACATTAGGATACTGACGTGAAACAAAGACAAATTAATGTCTTTTGTCTGTTATTTAAAAACATAAGCGGTCTCACGTAATTGTACTTCATCATATGCCATAATTTTACAGGATGCCCAAAAAGAGTGAAGCTTTTTTAATTTTATAACAGGTCAGCCAAAAATCTATGTATTTTTACCCAAAATTTTAATTTTCTCTTCTCCCATTTTTTACTGCGTTGGCATGCCTACTCATCAATGCATATTTTATTCTGTTTCAAGGGAAAAGTAAGTAAAGCCTTTTACAGACAACTACCCAAAATAAGATTTTTTTTCTCTTATATAACAAAATTACAGAAAAGGCCAAGTCATGTCTTATTTTGTTACAGAATATTTTTGATGTGTATAAGAAGCAACTTTCTCTCATGGTTTTTAAAATTTAATTTTACTAGAGTTTGATTTTTTTAAGCCTCCTTTTCCCATCTGAAAGAAAGCAAGTACTCTTAAGTGACCTTCATGATAGATCAACATGACCTACCCTTCGATCTCTGATAAGCCTGAAAAAAACACACCTACAATTACCTTTTTATTTTGTAATTCAGCTCCTTCTGAACAATTTGTCCACAACCAAACAGGAAAGTTTGCCTGCAATATCACCTTCCAGTTTAGTAGTCTCAACAAGTGCATAACTTTTTTATTGTTGTTTACTGAATAATTGTATTGAAATATTCTACTTTAAAATTATAATTTGCTAACA